AGCCGACCAGCCATCCTGCGCCACACTGTTAGACTCAGGGAGAGTCCAACCCCGTGAAGGGGAGTCACACCGTCATTGGCAAAACAAGTCAAACGCAGAGGCTGCAATAAGCATGAGGATTTTATTGAACATTCGCGAATGGGCAACAGAGTCTCTGGAGGCATCCAGGACTCTGTGCGCCCCAAGCAGGTTAAAGCACCTTTTTAAGGACAAAACCGCAAACTTCGCATAACAGCTGGCATTTTACTTTAAGATTAGAATCTCTTTTATTCCTGCAGCTGCCTGCTCCGGCCTTGCTACCTTATCTCTTTTATTCCTGCAGCTGCCTTGTTCATGTCTGGGAAACTGAAACTTTTACTTCCTTCATGAAATAGCTTTTCTATATTTATTCCAACATGGCTCTACTCTTGCTCAGCAGAAAGCAATATACAGAAGCAAAATCAAGCGGTTATTCTAAGCTCTTACATTCCCCCCTTTTCTTTTAGGACATATTTTTATCTTAAAATATAAGCATTAGCAGGCATTTTCTTGTACAGGCTGATATTGGCTGGTTAATACAAAGGCTTGAATTATTGACAATCTTTCTTTTATGAACTGTAATAAACGATTAATAATGCAAGGTCCTATAGTTAAAAGGAGTAATAACAATATTAAAGGTCCTGTTATAGCAGAGATGAAAGTGGTTAGTCAGGGTGATTGAGAGAACATGTTTTTAAACCATCTTTTTTGGGCTGACAATTCTTTCTGTCTTTTATTTAATCTGTCTCTGAGTCGATCTAAAGTCTCAGTCACACTTCCAGTTTGGTCAGCATAGAAACAACACTCTTCCTTTAAGGCGGCACACAATCCTCCTTCTTTTAACAATAGCAAATCTAGTCCTCTCCTGTTTTGCAACACTACTTCAGACAGAGAGGTAAGAGACTCTTTTAGTCCTCTGACTGACTGTTCTAAGGCCTGTTGGTCTTCATTCATAGCCTGGTGTAGTCCTTGGTAATAGTCTGTTCTCGACAGAGCAGTTGCTCCGGTGGCTATGCCAGCGGCTATTCCTTCTGTACCTAGTAACACGGCTAGAGTAATAGAGACAGGCTCTCGCTTGGCCCTCCCTGGATGTTCATAGGCAGCTAGAACAGTCTCAGACGGAAGGTATGTTATTCTTGGCCACAATTGAACAAGCACACAGAAGTCTTTGGTGACGTTAAGAACCTGTGCCGAGATACAAGGGGTCAGACCAGTGTTGCATGCCCAATAGATTCCATTAGGTGGTGTCAGATAATAATTTCCTATGGGGACATTTAAACTCTGGTTACATAGTCTAGATTTTATTGAATTTTTTCCTATACATAGACCTGTCCCACTGACATCAGTAAGTGTCAGTTCGTGCCCCATGGTGCTGCAGACTGGAGATGGGCTACTGGAGTTTGTTAAGTTTGCTATTGTGGCTATTCCTTCATAATAAGGTGGACTGGGGTTGAGGCATAGCCAGCAGTCCCTGGCTCTTTCGGGATCTGAAGAGTTAAGGGCTAGAAAGGCTCCTTTAACTAGATTTATGAGTCTTTCTCCCGTGCTTTTCGGCACTATAGTGGGGGAGGCCGGCGTGCTAGTTTGTGGAGTTATTGTGTGGTTGAAAAATGGCCTTATAGGATGTTGAGGCTGTTGTCCTGACGGCCCGCGGAAGGCAGGCAGGACATGATTTGGGCCAATAGACTGGGTGGCTAAGGGCTCTATTTGGCGGGAGATAGTGAACAGAGTAAATGCGTCCCACCCTTCTCTGTAGAGCCGCAATCCCCATACTCTCGTCTTAGTCCAGTCAGCTTTTTCTCCGGCCGAGGTGAAAGAAATAACTAAAAGATTGCATCTGCCACCTGGGGTGCTCCCCGTTCTTCTAGTTACACTATCAAAGCATGGTCCGCAGTTTTGTTTCCAGTGACCCTGGCCACAAATCCAGGGCCCTGTCCCTGAATATCCTGGAATATTTTCCCTCTTGACTGAGATGAGGTCAGTTGATTCAGTGAGCCAATACACTGTCCCGGTAGTTTCACAACCCCAACTAGCACAGTATCCTTCTTCGGCCCCCCTACACTGCTTGATTTTGGCTTTGCTACGGTCACTCCCCGGACAAACGTAAAAGGGTCTGGCTCTGGTGTGTAACCGTCCCAGTACATTCTCACAGCCATACGCGTTCCGACTACTAGTTCCTGAATAAGGGAGACCGGGAGTCTCCCATGCTCCTCCAACTAGGTCACATAGATCAAAATATAACTTGGGAAAGGTAACATCAACCGGTCCAATGACTTGAGTGCTATTTATGACTGTTCCTTATTTCCAAACTACTGATTTTCCAGGTAATTTTATGGGGGGTATGTGGGTTATAATCTGACAATGAACATGGAAGAGATAGCAAAGTCAAAAAGTACATTTTTAAGCACGAGTCAGTCTTATCTTTAGAGGATTTGGGGTTCGTTGAAGTTTCCATCCTGGTTCCTGGTCAGTCCCTGTAGTCCCTGTTGCTGGCTGATCCTTGGCGTGTTTCACGTGGGAGGCATGTATCCAGGCGGTAATTCCGTCGACTTTCAGGGCAGTTGGAGTAGTCAGTAGGACAGTAAAGGGTCCTTTCCACCGTGGTTCTAAGGTTTTTGCTTGGTGTCTCCGGACATACACCTGGTCTCCTTCCTTGAACGGGTGAGGGCACGGTGGAATGTCTTTGTCCTTGTAGGCCTCTGCAAGCGGTTTCCAGATGTACTCTCTCACTGTTCTGAGAGCCTGGAGATGCGCCTGTAACGAGGGTGGATGGGGGAACATGGTAGGATCAAAATCACAGAAAGAGGATGCCGGTGGTGGGCTCCCATATAATATTTCAAAGGGAGTCAGCCCATGATATGCAGGAGTGTTGCGCACTCGAAAAAGGGCCATAGGGAGGAGTCGTACCCAGTCTTTTCCGCCAGTCTCTAGGGCTAATTTAGTCAAGGTCTCTTTTAGAGTTCTATTCATTCTTTCTACCTGGCCTGAACTCTGGGGTCGATAAGCACAATGTAGTTTCCAATGAATCCCCAAACTCTTGGCCACCCCCTGACTTACCTGGGAGGCGAAAGCGGGACCGTTATCTGACCCTAATACTTGCGGCAATCCGTACCGGGGAAAAATTTATTTAAGGAGTTTTTTAACGACTGTCGTGGCCGTTTCATTCTTCGTGGGGTAGGCTTCTACTCAGCCTGAAAAGGTGTCTACAAAAACTAAGAGATATTTATAACCATACAGTCCCGGTTTTACTTCAGTAAAGTCTATTTCCCATTGTATTCCCGGTCGGTGTCCTCGGGCACGGGCTCCTTGGGGGAGTTTTAGTCGCCCTGCGTTTACCTGGGCACAAGGCTTGCATTGGTCCACTGTAATTTGAGTAAGAAACTGCAGGTCAGGAGTTATAAACGGGCATTTCTCATTTGCAAGTAGAGCGTGCATTTTTCTCCGGCTCAAATGAGTGAGGCGGTGGAGGTGTTCAATGATTTCAGTAGCTATGCGATAGGGCAGGATGACCTTGTCTCTTTTTCTCCATGCTTTGCACTTAGCATCCACTCCCCTTCAAGTTCTTTAATGAGAGCTCTGTCATTATCAGTATATTTAAATGGAACTCCCCAGTTGCAGACTATGTCATCTGTGTTTTGCCTGGTCTCTTCGGGTCCCATTTTTGAGTTTATTTCCAGGGGTAGGGCTGAGATTGGCTCAGTGGCAACAGTTTTTGCAGTCTGGTCTGCCAGTCTATTTCCTCTAGCTACTGGATCTGTTCCTTTTTGGTGGCCCGGACAATGAATAATGCTCAGTCTTTTTGGAAGGAATAGTGCCCTCAAGAGGTTTATTATCTCTTGCTTGTTCTTTATTTCTCGTCCTCCTGAAGTTAAGAGGCCCCTTCTGCGATAAATCTCACCGTGCACATGGGCCGTAGCAAAAGCATACCTACTGTCAGTATAGATGTTTGCTACTTTTCCCGCCGCCAGTTCTAGAGCCTTTGTGAGGGCTATTAGTTCAGCTCGCTGGGCCGACGTCCCTGGCTCTAGGGCACTGGCCCAGACTATGGAGTCATTGTTACTCACCACTGCTGCTCCTGCCCGCCGAGTTCCTTCGGTGACATAGTTGCTGCCATCTGTGAACCAGGTTACCTCCGCATCTGGTAGAGGCTGGTCAGTTAGATCTTCACGAGTCCCATGAACTTCGGCCAGACTCTGGGAGCAGTCATGGGGGGCATCCTTGGCCGTTCCCGGCTCCGGCAATAGGGAAGCGGGATTGAGCGTAGCAACTGGTCCAAAAGTAATGCGTTCAGGAGCTAAGAGCAAAGCCTGGTAGTGAGTCATGCGGGCGTTTGAAAGCCACCTGTCTGGCGGTTGGCAGACAACCGACTCTATAGCATGTGGAGCTATTATTGTGACTTTCTGTCCCAGGGTTAGTTTGTTTGCGTCCCTGAGCAGGGTCGCAATAGCTGCTACCATGCGCAGGCAAGGGGGCCACCCTGAGGCCACTGGATCTAGTTTCTTTGAAAGGTAGGCAACCGGTCGTCTCCAAGGGCCTAGGGACTGAGTCAATACTCCTTTTGCAATTCCTTTGGCCTCATCCACATACAGTGTGAATGGTTTTGTGACATCAGGCAGTCCCAGGGCCGGTGCCGTTAGGAGGGCCTCTTTAATGCAATCAAAAGCCCGTTGTTGTTCTTTTCCCCAGATGAAGGAGTTTTTTTCCTTCGTTAACATGTACAAGGGAGCGGCCAGCTCCGCAAACCCAGGTATCCACAGCCGGCAGAATCCTGCCGTTCCCAGAAACTCACGTACCTGTCGGGAGTTCCTTGGGACTGGTATAGACGCCACCGCAGCTTTCCTGGCTTCAGTTAACCATCTTTTTCCTCCCTTTATGACATATCCTAGGTAGGTTACCTCCTCTCTGCATATCTGGGCTTTCTTGGCAGATGCCCGATATCCTAGGGCTCCCAATTCACGTAACAGGGCCCTTGTCCCTTCTAGGCAGGCCTCTCTGGTAGGTGCTGCCAGCAAGAGATCATCTACATATTGGAGGAGAGTCAGATTGGGGTTATTTAATCTGAATGCCACCAAGTCTTGATGTAGGGCCTCATCAAAGATGGTGGGGGAATTTTTGAAGCCTTGTGGCAATCGAGTCCAAGTCAGTTGCCCACTTACTCCATGTTCCGGATCTCTCCATTCAAAAGCAAATAAAGGTTGGCTCGCCGGGCTCAGTCTTAAACAAAAGAAAGCATCCTTTAAATCCAGGACACTATACCACACATGGGAGGGAGGCAAGGAGCTGAGAAGGTTATAAGGATTTGGCACAGTGGGATGTATGTCTTCTACACGACTATTTATTTCTCTTAGGTCTTGGACGGGCCTATAGTCATTTGTCCCCGGCTTCTGCACTGGTAGGAGAGGAGTGTTCCACGGTGACCGGCAAGGAATGAGAATTCCCAGTTTTAGTAGTCTGTGGATGTGGGGGCGAATGCCCTCAAAGGCTTTCCTTGACATGGGATATTGTCTGATAGCCACGGGCCCTGCAGTAGCCTTTAGTTGTACGTGTACTGGTGGCTGTTGCACTGACAATCCCATGCCACCCGTCTCTGCTCATGCATCTGGGAATTCAGTCATCCATCTCTCCATGTAAGGTGGGGTTCCCTCTTTGTTAGTTTCAGTTTTTCTAATGGCCTCATGTAGTTTGTATTCATTTTCTAATTTTAGGGTTAAGATGCACAGGGATTTCCCTTGAGGCCCAGTCACTGTTATTTCTTGGTCTTTAAAGTTGATTTGTGCTCCCAGTTTTGTCAGAAGATCTCGTCCCAATAGGGGGTAGGGACAATCAGGCACATGTAAAAAGGAGTGAGTGACAGTACCTGTAGCTAAGTCGACCCGCCGATCAGTCGTCCACCGGTACGCGCGTCCTCCTGTGGCTCCCTGTACCCACGAGGTCTTCTGGCTCATAGGTCCATCAGTAGTTGTCAAAACTGAATGTTGAGCCCCGGTGTCTACTAGAAACGTGGTGGGCTTGCCTCCCACAGACAGAGTTAGCCTGGGCTCAGGGGGAGGCTCCTGGCCCCGACTGGCCTAGTCTTTTAAAGTCAAAACTGAGGTCTGCCTTTTCTTGTTTCTAGGATTGTTGGGACAATCCTTTGCCCAATGGCCGTTTTCTTTACAGTAAGCACATTGATCTTTCCCTAAACGGTTTCGCCGCTCACCTCCCTGTTCCTTAAACTGTCTCCCTATCTCAGTTCCCTGGGATGTTATTTGCTTGTTATGAACTACAGTGGCCAAGATACGGCTCAGTTCTTTATTCCGTCGCTTATCTCTCTTATCCTCTCTTTCTTCCTGCATCTTTCTTAGTCTCTCTTCTCTCTCTCCCGGAGTCTCTCTCTTATTGAAAATTTTATCTGCCTCTTTTACTAAGTCCTGCAAGCTATAATTCTGCAATCCTTCTAGTCTTTGTAACTTATTTCGAATGTCTGGTGCCGACTGTCCTATGAAAGCCATAATCACTTCCCCCTGCCTATCTTCACTTGCCGGATCAAACGGTGTATACATGCGGTATGCTTCCATTAGTCTTTCTAAGAATCCCGCGGGAGTCTCCCCAGCTCCCTGTAGAACTGTTCTTATCTTAGCCAAATTAGTGGGTCGCCTTCCGGCACCCTTGAGACCTGCCAACAGAGTCTGGCGATAAAGACGGAGACGCTCCCTACCATTTGGAGTGTTGAAGTCCCAATTAGGTCGGACAAGGGGGAACATTTCATCAATTTCGTTTGGAAGTTGGGTGGGCTGCCCATCAGCCCGAAGGACATTCTTTCTGGCCTCCATCAGCACCCGTTGGACTTCTTCTGTGGTCAGTAGAGTCTGTAACAGCTGCTGACAATCATCCCAAGTCGGCTGGTGCGTCAACAAGATGGACTCGATGAGACCTGTTAATGCTTGGGGGTCTTGGGAGAAAGGAGGGTTATGAGTTTTCCAATTATACAAATCAGAGGCAGAGAAAGGCCAATACTGGACCTGCCCCCCTACAATTCTCAAGGGGTACAATTGTGAAGACCATTGCCCTTCTCCTCTTTCTCCCTCCTCCAATTGAGCCCTGCGTAGCCGCAACCTGGTATGGATTGGGGATCTGGCTTCAGGCTGTTCATTTACAGTGGTGTCTGGAGAGCCCATCTCCCCAGGTCTTCCTCTTGGGGGTTCTCCTTCAGGTTGATGCTCCTGGGGATAAGGTGGAGGAAGTTCAGAGGTCATTAATAGGTCCATCTGACTATCATCAGGCAGGACAGGCTTAGGTCGAGGACGAGTAGCTTCCAGCGGACAGAGGGAAACAAGAGCAGAGGGTTGGGGTTGGGGCGGAGCTGAAGGCGCCGGCAATTCTGGAGAAGGAGGAGGAGGACAGGGTGCGATGAGAAAAGGTTGAGCCCACGGCGGGGGATTAACCACGAGGTCCTCCCATACCAAGATATACGGTAACTGGTCGGGATGCCCCGATGGTTTTGTCTCTACAGCCCTAAACTCCAGCCACTCTTCACACTGCAGGACAGGTTTATAGCAAAGCAATGCAGACTAAGCTTGGTCTAAACACACAGGAACCAGCAGCCAGGACCCAAGGGCTGCAGGCAAGACACTTTCGGCATCACCAGTTGTAGACCCTCTCAGAACAAACTAAATCTTTTACTGGGTGGCCCCCAGGAAACTTACAAGAGGTCATTAATACTATAAATACTATGAACAAGAGTTTTTACACAGCACATTAAATATCATCTGGCTTGTTACAAAAGTTATCTGTAGACTCTAGGCGTGCTGGGAGCAGGAGCCCCCGGAGCCTGCCTGTGGGGATTTGCATGGGGCTGGCTGGGAGGGCAGAGGCGAGGAGGGCACAGGGAGGCCTGGGGTTCCCGGCCTGTCTACTCCCACAGCCAGTCCCTCAGAGAGAATGAAACAGGAGGAGGATCTGATCAAAGTCTTCTTGGGTCAATCTGCTGACCTCTGGGCAGCCGCAGCTGGTACCTGTGCCGGGCAAAGGGAAAACCAGGGACGGATCCATGGGGGGATTCTGAGACAGATTTCAAACCAGGATAAGGCTGCTGATCAGGGTGGCCTTTTGGACCTGTTGGAAAAACAATCCTTTAAACTGTTTGGATGATAAGAGCCTCCTTTCGGCCAGCCCAGGTTGAAAACGGGGCCCTTCTGCAGAGCAGAAAGTCTGTCAAGATCTTTTCTTAACCAGGAGGGAGAGGTCGTGAGTCCTGTCCTTATCTTCAGTCCAATGGTCAAGAGTCAAACTAAGGGGAATCGTCACAGTCTGTTCCATAATTAAAGACAAAAGACCACACACAATTACAAAACAAATGACACAAACAGGATTCGCGCGATGCAAGATTTCCTAAGGGCCCGATACAAAATACAAGAAGGTCGACCGTACAAAGCCAGACGAGGGTGAAGTGATCTTCACCCCGTCTCCAAGGCATCGGAGCGTCCCCCGGCGTACAAGATCAAACCGGTACCGTTCAAAGACTGGGGGGGGGGGGGGGACAAGGACAGTACAGAACAACACAAAAACAAAAAACACACTTTCCGATCGGTCTTACCTCCCTCTGCGAGAGTTGTTTGCTGAAGACGGTCGCTCCATTCCCGGCCAATGCACCAAAATGTTAGACTCAGGGAGAGTCCAACCCCGTGGAGGGGAGTCACACCGTCATTGGCAAAACAAGTCAAACGCAGAGGCTGCAATAAGCATGAGGATTTTATTGAACATTCGCGAATGGGCAACAGAGTCTCTGGAGGCATCCAGGACTCTGTGCGCCCCAAGCAGGTTAAAGCACCTTTTTAAGGACAAAACCGCAAACTTCGCATAACAGCTGGCATTTTACTTTAAGATTAGAATCTCTTTTATTCCTGCAGCTGCCTGCTCCGGCCTTGCTACCTTATCTCTTTTATTCCTGCAGCTGCCTTGTTCATGTCTGGGAAACTGAAACTTTTACTTCCTTCATGAAATAGCTTTTCTATATTTATTCCAACATGGCTCTACTCTTGCTCAGCAGAAAGCAATATACAGAAGCAAAATCAAGCGGTTATTCTAAGCTCTTACAACACGAACGCTCCTGGCAGTGCAGCTCAGCTGGCCAGCCAACACATCAGCTGCCCGAGAATGCCAGCCAGCTCCCCGGTCTGGCAAGCAGAGGCAGAGCCAGAGCTCCCAAGAGGAAGAACAAACAGGCAAAGAGGCCGCTCCTGCGATTCTAGTCATTTCCCTAGTGGCAGGGGTCTTTCCCACGCTTTGCTTGGTGGGAGGGGGGGTGTCCATCCGCGGGGGTGGGTCAGCACCTGCAGGGAGATTGTGGGTGCTGGTCTCATCTCTCAATAACGGACATACTTTTCGTGCATGCATCAACAGGGAGAGACACTTGCTTTCTTGGTTCATGTGTTTGCTGATTGATCAGTGCATCAAACACTCACACACGCACACTCGCAACATTGGCTGGCCCTACTTGATCTGGAAAGGGCATGGCAAATGCGTTGTGGAGCATACAGGCAGCTAGCCCCATGGCTCCATCACTGAAAGCCAGATGGGGCTGAGAATATACGGGGAATACTCAGCCAGGTCTTGTCTTTGGAGACAAGGGCTCCCCGTGCACATAGGCCTTGGGAAACCCAAGAGGACAAGTTGTGAGTGGGATGAGGGGAAATCAGTCGGGGCGGGGATTTGGGGCTTCCTCGATCCGCCAAGGAATCAATAAATTCATATTTAAAAATGAAACAAAGATTTGTTTTCTAAGAGTGCTGGTTAGTATTTCACTGTGATCACTGATGGAGCGATTGATCCATGGTTTGATAGGTGGATGGATGCATGGATGGATGGATGTATTCACCATTAGCCGGAGAGATAGAAAGAGAGTCAGAAAAGTGAGAAAGGGCAGAGAGAGAGAGAGAGACAGAGAGACCGAGACAGGGAGGAATGGAGACATTGAGTGTCCCAGGCACCCTGGTCCTCTCACCCAATGCCATCACAAGCTGAAGCTGAGAGGCAGGCACTGAAGGTCCAGCCAGTAGCTTCCTCTGAGTGTCCTGGTTGGCTTCAGGGAGCCGAGGCTTTGGGCCGTGCTTGAGTGCCTTCCCAGGCCACAAGCGGGGAGCTGGAATGAAAGAGGATCATCCCGAACATGAGCGGGCACCTGTGTGGGAAGCCGGCCATGCAAGACAGAGGGTGTGGCCTCAAATCCTATTGAGTGTGTTTCCAGCGTGAGGGGATTTTAACCTGTGCTGGTGGGATTGCAATGGAACCAATCTCCCACCGAATATACATGTCTCCAAACTCTCTCTCTCTCTCTCTCTCTCTTACACACACTCACACACACTCACACAGAGACACACACACACACACACTCTCTGACATGAGGTGATGCTTTCACCAAAGCTTTATGGCATCCTAGCGTTCTATCACTCTTGGTTGTTGTTGTTTGTGAAATCTCTGGCATCAACCAGGCCATCATCCCCCGCTGGTTGCCATGTGGACAGAGAGCAAGGTGATGGTGGTAAGTCCATCCTCTCCCAGCGCTATGGAGAAGAGCAGGTGATGTGAGAAGTCCTGAGTGAGGAGGCTGTCGCGCCCTCAGGCCTCTGACCTCTTGCGCACTGGAAGCTGATTGGTGGAGCTGGCCGCTGGGGGGCGGGGTCGCGGGTCGAGTTGGCTATATAAGGGTGGTGAGTGGAGGGAGAGCGTCCGTGATCTGAGCAAGATTGCAGAGAGGGAAGGCGAGAGTGGAACGCCAGCGCACAAGTCTCGGGACCATGGCCCCTGGAGTAGTGCCCAAGGCTGCTTCACTGCACTCGGGGGGTAAGTCTCATTATCCAGGCGGGGCTTTGTATGTGCCAGGGAAGTGGTCAGCCCGGCCTCAGAAAGAGCCCCAGCTGGACGAGGGTGTGGCTGCAGAGAACACAGAGCTGGCTGCCAGAGGGGAAGCTTCTCTGTGCTGGATGGAACCTTACGGCATCGGGGCTGGTCTGCAGAACCCGGGGAACGCCTGCTACATGAATGCAGCCCTCCAGTGTCTGACGTACACCCCGCCACTCGCCAATTATCTGCTGTCTCAGGAGCACTCCCGCACCTGCCAGCGCCGTTCAGAGCTCTGCACGCTCTGTGCTCTGGAAAGTCACTTCATTTGGGCTCTGCACAGTCCCGGCCACGTGATCCAGCCCTGTCAGGCATTGGCTGCTGGCTTTCACAGAAACCGCCAAGAAGATGCTCACGAGTTTCTGCTGTTCGCGCTGGATGCCCTCAGGGCAGCAGGCCTGCCTGGCCTCAACTGCCAGCTGGCGCCCTCTGAGGACCAGCCTCTAAGCCATCAGCTAGCTGGAGGCCACTGGAGGTCTCGAGTCACATGTCTCCAGTGCCAAGGCACTTCAGACACATGGGACCCTTACCTGGACATCGTGCTGGATATCCAGGCCGCCAAGAATGTGCAGGAAGCCTTGCGGCATTTGGTGAGCCCGGAAGAGCTGGACGGGGACAACGCCTATGATTGTGCTGCCTGCCTCAGGAAGACGCCTGCCTCCCGCACACTCACCTTGCACACGTGTGGGGATGTGCTCGTCTTGGTCTTGAAACGCTTTTCTGACTTCACGCGTGACAAAATGGCCAAGCCGGTGCACTATCCTGACCGTTTGGACATGAGGCCTTACCTGTCTCGGCAGAACGGAGACAGACAGAAAGAGAGTCAAAAAATTGAGAAAGGGCAGAGAGCGTCAGACAGAGAGACCGAGACAGGGACGAATGGGGACATTGAGTGTCCCAGGCACCCTGGTCCTCTCACCCAATCCCATCACAAGCTGAATCTGAGAGGCAGGCACTGAAGGTCCAGCCAGTAGCTTCCTCTGAGTGTCCTGGTTGGCTTCAGGGAGCCGAGGCTTTTGCCGTGCTTGAGTGCCTTCCCAGGCCACAAGCGGGGAGCTGGAATGAAAGAGGATCATCCCGAACATGAGCGGGCACCTGTGTGGGAAGCC